GTCCACCTGGAATGGCAGATGACCCACACGAGCTCTCGCACCTGTGTCCGCACATGCACACGTGTACCTGCACACTCCCATCTGGGCTGGCCCGGAGGCCGTCCCGTCACCAGAAATGGGAGAGATCTTGTTATGATGCCTCTTCTTTCTGATGTCTTCCAAGGACAGGACAGGGCGGCTCTGACCACAGGTCCCTTCTTTTCACCAAACAGGAGGCGAGCGAGGTGGTTTACAGACCAAGAACAAGGGACACGTGTGACAGCTGTCCTGTTAACAGGAGCACACACACACACACACACACACAATCAGGTCTTACTGTACGTGTGGGCGCTACTCCCCTTGGGTGAGAACAAGCCCTCTTCTCTCATGGAGATTGGATCCCCGCAAGGATTGTAGAACCAGTGGTCATTTGCGGTGGTCCACACACCGGGTGTCTGGGGCCCTACTGCACCCCGGTCTGTCCTTGGACCATCCTGGGGCCTGCAGATCACGGGTCACCAACAAGATGTGCTGATTGGCCAACCTCCAGCTTTGGTCCTCCCAGCCTCTCCAGGTCTCTGGGGCATTGCCTTTCTTTCTGAGGGCCTGGGACGTGTTTCTGAAGAGTGCTGCCACCCTGTGACCCTCAGTCCTTGGAGACCTGCAAGAGATGCGTGGTGAGGTCAGCAGGGTCTTTGAGGAAAGCAGTGCGCCTTGGCTGCCTGTCTCCAGAGCTCCGTTCTGGGGCTGGGAGGTCACCACCTTGACACTGCGGTGTCAGGCTGCTTTCATAAAGTCCTTCTGGCGGCATGGGCTCCTCTCCTCCTTCCAGTGAAGGGTGCTGCTCCCCTTCCCCACTTTCCTGTGACCAGCCTCGGTGGGGAGAATGACGAAGGACAGATGAGCTATATTCTCCTGTGGCTACTAGAAACATCCAGCTTGTGGTTATGGGTCCATCAGGAGGATGATTTTTATGTTCTCTGGGGGCTAAGAGAATGAAATGTCTTTCTCTGTGACAAAACGGCAGTGAAGTTTCCAAAAAGTGTTGTCATTTCTCATCAAGAGAAGCTGGATAACAAACAGGTGCAGCTAACACGCAGACCCCTGGCTTGGACAGAAGGTGGGCGTTCCCCCCGGGTAGCGAAGGTGGCTGACAGCGTGTCCTGCTGAAGATGAACAGGGCAGCCGTCACTTCCTCACCCTGGAGTAATTCTGACAGATGACACTAACACACTCAATTACCTCTGAGAACGGGGCAGTCAGCAACTGCTTGTCTAGTATGACAGATAAATGGGGTGGTAAGAGATGGATTTTGGCCAGGGCACCTGGGTCTCGGTGCCTGGAGGGACGTTTCTGCCATCTCTGAGTCCAGAACTGTGTTCCTCTGATTTTCTGGGACTGTTCACGGACACACTCCTCTTCCCACGCTGGACTGGTCTTCTACCTGTGTTGGGTTCCTCCTACGCTTGTTTTGTCTGGCTGATAGTCATTTGTCTTCCTTTATCATGTTGTGGGGTCCAGGGCTTTGTGGCTCCAACTTCTCCCTCTGAGATGTCTTGGAAATCTGACTTCCCTCCAAGATGGTGGCCGTGGTAGGGATGAACCAGTGGACGGGGCGGCCAACGGCTTGGCCCCCTGGTGAGGGTGGTCAAGCTGGGTGGTGTGTTTTAGACAGAAGGGAATGAAGACCATCATCCTGGAGATGTCCCACCAGGGGCCGTGGGGATGGACGCAAGTAGAGTTGGACCCGGACAGGTTTGCCAGAAGACGTTCCCAGCCTATTGGGTTCGAGGAGGTTGGTATGTAGTCTTTACACTGGATGTGGCCTTGTGGTTCAGGTCAGCATGTCAAGACCTACTGGGGGCAGATGTCATTTGTGAGTGTTGAGATTCTGTAGGAAAGACACTAGGCTTGGGGTGCTTCTGGGATTCATGTGTCCAGTGGGTCAGCATTTGGAACTGATGCATTTCCAGGCTGCCTTCGCTGACATGGGTAATTTTCTTGGGGCATTTCCCTTGGACTGGCTTGGTCTCGGGCTGCTCTCTGACACCTGTGCATGGTCCTACACAGATCGCAGGCCTTGGCTCTCTGGACCATTTCCCTTGTGAGTTTACGGGGCTGTTGGCTGAGAAGGTAAGGGAATCACGTGAGGGCCCCTGACATCCGTGAACACAGACATGGAGGGTCCTTCATGGTCCCTGCAGGATAGCGCCTCTCCACGTGCTGTGTGTCTCACTCCCTGGCCTCCGGTGATTCCCGACATTACAGCCAGGAGGGTGAGCTTGGCCTCTGTCTTGAAGATGCATAGCATGTCGGCACCTCACGCATTAAGTACTGACGACTCTCATTGTCAACAAGTGAAATCATATAATCACTGGACCAAACTCTTTCTGGAAAAACAGAGTTGCTGTTAGTCCTTTTCAGGGGATCAATCAAAATGGGATTTGAAAAAGCCTTAGCATGGGCTTCCTACATGTGGTTCCCTGGAAGTAGGTGGAACAGAAGGGTTTGTGCTGTTTCTTCGTCCTCATGGCTCCTGCCTGCACCCTTGGGCATCCATTACCGTGTGGTCCTTGGGGAAGTCTTCTAAGTGGGTCTCAGCATACTTGTAAGAACCATTTCAATGTTGCATGCTCCATTTTCTCTTACTAAAAAAATTCAGGAAACAGCGCAAAACATGTTTTTATGTGTCCTTAATGTAAGCCCTAAAATGTACAGTCCTAAAAACAAGTTAAGTCTGTCTCATGTTCCAGAACTCTGCTGTCTTCTCTCTCATGCTCCATACTTTAAAGGGAACAGCGGTGGCTGGGCTGGTGTCACAAGCAGAGAGTTAAATGGGATTTCCCAACTGGAAGAGACAATTAATAATTATATTTTGTCTTTAATCTCCTTTGTGTTTGTTGCCTTATTGTTTAATACTCTGAACATCCTTTTCTCTGATCCTGTCTAAAAAACAAATGAAAATCTGGACGTTCTTCGGTTCTTACGTCCCCCCGCTTCTCCCCCACCCCCCCTTCTGTGCATGTGCCTCTTTTTTTTTATTTTTTATTTTATTATGTTATGTTAGCTACCATACAGTACATCATTAGTTTTTGATGTAGTGATCCATGATTAATTGTTTGCGTATAACACCCAGTGCTCCACGCAGTACGTGCCCTCCTTAATACCCATCACCGGGTTAACCCATCCCTCCACCCACCTCCCCTCTAAAACCCTCAGTTTGTTTCTCAGAGTCCATAGTCTCTCATGGTTCATCTCTCCCTCCGATGTCCCCCCCTTCATTTTTCTCTTCCTTCTAATGTCCTCCATGCTATTCCTTATGTTCCACATATAAGTGAAACCATATGATAATTGACTTTTCTGCTTGACTTATTTCACTTAGCATAATCTCCTCCAGTCCCATTCATGTTGATGTAAAAGTTGGGTATTCATCCTTTCTGATGGCTGAGTAATATTCCATTGTATATATGGACCACATCTTTTTTATCCATTCGTCTGTTGAAGGGCATCTCGGCTCTTTCCAAAGTTTGGCTATTATGGACATTGCTGCTATGAACACTGGGGAGCATATGGCCCTTCTTTTCACTACATCTGTGTCTTTGGGGTAAATACCCAGGAGTGCAATTGCTGGGTCATAGGGTAGCTCTATTTTTAATTTTTTGAGGTACCTCCACACTGTTTTCCAAAGTGGCTGCACCAACTTGCATTCCCACCAACAGTGTAAGAGGGTTCCCCTTTCACCACAACCTCTCCAACATTTGTTGTTTCTTGCCTTGTCAATTTTTGCCATTCTAACTGGTGTAAGGTGGTATCTCAATGTGGTTTTGATTTGAATTTCCTTGATGGCTAATGATGATGAACATTTTTTCATGTGTCTATGAGCCATGTGTATGTCTTCTTCAGAGAAGTGTTTGCATGTGCCTCCTAAATGTGTCCTATGCGCCTGCCTGCCTGACTTTGTGTACAGGTTTCCCATTTTTTGGTTTCCTGCCCCATGTGAGAAATTACTATTCCTCTTGCCAGCAGGTGAAGGTACTGCTCCCCTGGGGGAGGCCTCCCTGACTCTCATCTCCAGGCTCAGTGCTCATTCCCCATGGCTCCCCCCTTCACATGCCCGTGCATTAGCGCAGGGGTCTGGTAGGCCAGAGAGAGGCTGTCGCTCCTCACCTGTATCTGTGTTAGGTCATAAGAGCAAGTACCTTGTCCTAAGCATCTAATGAGGCCCAGGCCTTAGCACTTAACCATGTAGGAGTACATTGTACCCCAAACCTGTGAGTAGCTAGTGCCATGTGTCCGTGTTAGAGATGAGGAATCTGAGACTCAAGAGAGCTAACCTGAGCTGCTCAAGATGTCCCTGCTTGGAAGGGAGGAGACCTTCAACTCCCATAACCTCTTTCCAGAATCGGAGTCCTCAGCTCTCTGCAAACTGTCTCTGCAGGTGTGAGCCTACCAGAAAGTTGTCCCAGAGTGAGCAAAGATCAAGCGGGGAATTTAGTTGGTTATGACTCGGCTGAGCTCAGAAACCTTTATTTACGAGGCATATGGGAGCAGAATGAAACCACGCTTTGGTCCTCCTCGGAAAAAATAATAGTAGCTGCAATTCAAATAATTTTTGTTGTAACTAGTATTTCTTTAAAAGTTGTAAGTCAGTGAATTTATAGTTCCGCACAGAAAACTAGTCAAAACCCCATCTGTGCGTTTGTGTTTGTATCTGTCTGCACACTAGGGGATGTATATGTCAATGTGTTTATATATGTTTGTGGATTGTTATTGTATATTTACAAGGAGACACACACATAGATGTGTGCACGCCTGCTTGTGTGTAAAATATTTACAGAGGAGGATAAGTGATTTCCTCATATCCAGCCATCTGACCCCCTCAGATGCCAGTTTCACATTTGGAAGAAAGTAAATATAACATGCTTGAAAACAATGTAACGTGCTAGGAAAATAAGCTTCTAGCAAATAGAGTTGTATCTTGGTGGGTCTCCTGCTGACTGGCAGCCCCATGTCCCCTGCAGACTGCAGAGAGATCCTGCTTCCCATGATGACGGATCAGCTCAAGTACCATCTGGAGAGACAGGAAGACCTGGAGGCCTGTTGCCACCTGCTCAGCAACATCCTCGAGGTTCTGTACAGGAAGGATGTGGTGAGTAATGGCTGTGCTTGCTCAGGCTGTCTTTGCGCACCTGGCAGCAGGGGTCCCTTTATAATCCCCACGAGCCCCTGCCTCACTGCACAAAGGCACTTTGGATTCGTTTAAAAAGAAATGACCTTAATTTTAAGGGTTAGCCTCTCTCTCTCTGTTGAGTGGTACCCTTCAATGGTTCTTATTTTTGTATAAAGTGAGATACTAATATTAAAATGTGTATTCTTCCAAGTTAAAAATCTTTAAGTTTTTCCCCTGACTTAATCAGGTGAATGCCTCCCCAAGACAGATTTTGATCCTTAAGGTCAGAAAATGGCTTTGATATTAAAAAGTAGAAATAAACAAATGAAGGCTAATTATCTATATTCTTTTTGTCAATTCTTATTTTAAAGTAATGCATGCACAGAGTTTTTGGGGTTTTTTTGTTTTGTTTTGTTTTTGTTTTTAAGTTGTTGGTGCTTCTGAGAGTTTTGAGAACAATGGCTCTCTGCCTCCTTTCCCACCTTCCTCTCCCCACAAGTAATTTCTTTCTGTGCTTTTTTAGCTTTTTCTTTCTTTTTAAATGGTATTTCCTTTTGTATTTGTAAACTGTATGCCTAGTCCACTCACCTTTTTTCTTAATCAGAAGTTGGTGCAAGTGCATATGGAAAATCTGACCCTATGGCTTCCCATCCCCAACACTACCCTTCCCCCCCCAATACACATTTGTGCACCCGTGCACACATCCTCCTGATTCTCGGGGTGTGTGTGGAAAGGCATATAGGTCCTTGTCCACCCATCTGTGCCTCTAGCAGGAGACAGATGGGCCAGGTTTTTAAGGTCAGCAGGGCTTAATCTGTGCCCTCCCCCACATGACCTCTGGACACCTTCCCAGTCAACACATGCACTTACCTGTCCTGCCCACTTCCTTCCTGCATGGGCTCATGCTCTCAGAGCCTGGTTAGTGCCATTGAAGAAGGAGATCAGATTAAATCACTTCATAGCAAGGGTGGTTATATCAGCTCTTCCGGGCGAGTTGCCTTTGAAAGGTTTTAGAAGCCTTAATCCAACAGCCAGCCTCCCGCGGCCCCATTCCAGGGCCTTCCCTTTTCTTGAAGGGGAGAAGGTTGGGAGTGAAGAAGCTTGTATGGCCCAGCCTTGTCATGGAGGTGGTGCCTGCCCGAGCCTTGTATGTGAGCACCTAGGGGACGTATCTAAACAACTTCCAAGTTCCTGACGAAGAATCAAGAATCCCATCACACACAAAATAACAGAGCAAATTTTTACTGATGGAAAAAAAATCTGTGGCACACTATGAATTTTAGATAGTGTGCTAAAATAAATACATTGTATTCTACGCGATTGTTGGTGCAGAGCAATCTGTGGTTTGCTATCTGCCTGCTTCCCATTTACAGATGGACAAGTGTCTCTAGAAAACTAATTGGTGGGCTCATCACAGATCATAAACATTATATTGTTTAAACAGATTTGTTTTATTTTTAAGATTTGCTTAAATTAAATTACTATGATTATATAACAAATTACCATTAATGGACTATAATTAATAAGATGCCTTGTGTTTTCTTTGTGAAGGCTTTTTGCCTTTCACAAGGGCCATTCTTCATCTCGTTAAGGGTTATAATTGATTTACTTTTTACAGGGTAAATGGATTCAGTGACAACCGACAAGGCTTGCATGCTAATGATTGTCTTAGGTGTTGGTTTTCACTGGTGTGTCTTCCTCCAGGGGCCAACTCAGAGGCATGTCCAGATAATCATGGAGAAACTTCTCCGGACAGTCAACCGAACCGTCATTTCCATGGGACGGGATTCCGAACTCATTGTAAGTGCTCAGTGATGTGTGCTTGGGTGTGTGATGGTGGCCAAGACCATCCTTCTCAGGCATGTCACTTACTCTCAGGCCCAAAAATCCACTTGGTCCTTTTCCAGCTGCCTTTTGACAGTAAGCTACTTTTACTGCGTTGTAACAAGCCACTGACATGCATTTATATACAGTCTGGTTTATAAAATAGGCTGATTTTTCCATGATTCTAGAAGCAAGTGTCCAAGTTGAAGGGTCAGCAAACAACCAACATTTTGGAGACAGAAACATTTGATTCTAGTTTACTTGTAATTTACTTCTAGCAAAGGATGTGTATTTTCTTCTAAGTCTTTATTCTTCTGGTGGTTTCTTGCTACATGTTTACATTTAAGATGCCGTTAATAAAATTTTATGAAGGACCTTAAAAAGTAATTGAGGTGCTCCAACCCAGCTATTTTATTGTCTACTCTGATATATTGTAGATGTCTCTCTTCTACAGATGACTGAGGTATGCAATTGCATCTGTGATTTTTTTTCTTGAGAAAGTTTTAATAATAATTTAGACAGTTTTTCAAGTTTTGTATTATGGGATATTATGGGACTCCCCCCCCACCCAGATTTTAGCATTCTCCTTCCCAACCATTCTTCTTTTTTTTTTTTAATTTTTTTTTAAAGATTTTATTTATTTATTTGAGAGAGAGAGAATGAGAGCCAGAGAGCATGAGAGGGAAGAGCGTCAGAGGGAGAAGCAGACTCCCTGCCGAGCAGGGAGCCCGATGCGGGACTCGATCCCAGGACTCCAGGATCATGACCTGAGCCGAAGGCAGTTGCTTAACCAACTGAGCCACCCAGGCGCCCGACCCAACCGTTATTCTTAAGTTTGGTTTCTTAGGCAAAAGATGCACACATAGGTCCCTTTTATTTCCCCTCATTTCTAGTACACGTTATTTCACTAAGTTTGGTTGATGGCATTTCAAAAAAAATAATTTTTCAAATCCAGGAACAAAACATCCAGTTAAAGAGTTTTCATTGGCAACCAGCCTGGGTACATTGGTCTTCCTTGTGTGACTGTAGTTTTTTCTGCTTATCCTGGGAGGGGGACAAGTAAGATGACATACATGACTGTTCAGGCAGCAAGGCAAGAACATAGGTAGCATTGGATCTGTTTGGTTTCTGTGGCTGGCATGAGTAAAGGATGCGGTTTTGGGTGAAATCACAGTTGGGTAGCAGAGAAGTGGGACAATTGCTGCCTTAGTATGTTTCCATCCAGTAAAACAGCCTACTTTATGCTTCAGAATTTCAACATGTGTTACGTTCAGATTTCCCTTTTTAAGGTATGTCTCATTTAGGTTTGGACGATCACATGTATAAATTAGGAAATAAAACATTTCCCTGTACGTTGGCTTTATTTGCAGTGGACTTTTCCATTATTCTGCAGTAGTAGATTTGTCTACCTTATCCCGTTCTTTTCTCTAGTCTTCACACCTTTGCATAGGTGGGTGGAGATGGGGCCCCATGGGTTAAGATTGAGGTGACTCCAGGATCACCCCTGGGGGCTGGTGCTCCTGCCTTCCTGGGGTTGTGCCGTGGGTGTCCTTGGAACACTCTCATGTTGTGGACCTCTGAGGGGCCCGAGGTGGGATGGCTGATGTGTGGCTTGAAGTAAAACCAAGTTCAGCTGGTTGAACTGTTGGAATGGGCTGGATTACAGAGGTGGGGGGTGACGTGATGGCACTGTGGGGTTGCAGGGAGTGAGTGATGGGCAGATGCGGGTGGTGGCCAGGGTCGGGGCCAGTGAACTGAAGAGAGAGTTCTAGGGTTAGGGGGCTGACCCTAGCAGGGTGTTCACTTGGGCCATCCCCTGCTGGCAAGCAGTTAAGCTGGGATGAGGAAGACAAGAAGGAGCTCATAGAAGTTTGGATGGTGCTTGGAATGTGGAGAGATTGTAAGGTGCTTTCAGTCAATGGATCTAGCGAAGGTTGAACAGAGCAGGTGGAGTGTGATGTCTTCTCTCAGACCATGTGGTTCCAGATGTCTTTGGGAAAGTTCTCATCTTGGGCATGATGCCCATAGTGGTGATCATGATAGCAGCACGTTACTGACACTTAATTTCTGTGCCGGCCACTGTGTAACGAGTGGGAAGATTCTTATTTAGTTCTAAACTTTACCGTGCTTATGTAACTGCAGAAAATGTCCTACAGAGACATAAGAAATAGTTCTAGATCTCACAGATGGCATGGAAACTGTGATTTGGCACCCTGGTTTGGTGCCAGAGCTGGTTTCCCTAGTCTTTTCTGTAAGACAGATACTGGTTTTGCTCATCTCCATGGTGTCCAGGAGGTATCGAAGGGGACTGTGAATTGCTCCTAGGTCTTCATCCTCGGTAGGGAGGCAGCTGACCAGCAAAGTAAGTAAGCACCTTTCCGTTTAGCCCCTTTCAGTCATTTCCATGGGCCACACGCTAGAATCTCCTGGAGGTAGAAGGGAGGGTCAGGTGCCCCTTTCCCGAAGGGCTTGGAGGACCCCCCAGGAGTTCCTGAGGAAGAGCCCATGCATGTTCTAAGAACGGGGGATGACAGTGAGAACCCACGCTCAGTCTTAGCCAGCTGGGGATCTGTTCCTATTGAGCAGTCAGCAAGGGTTCAAGGCCTTGTCTGGGAACAGGGGTGCAGAGCAAACCACCCACGTCCAGACCCATTCCCCACCATCCTTTCTCCTACAGGAGTCTTTAGAAGCAGGAAGGGGATTTAGGCCCTAAGCTGACTCTTCCCAATTCCAACATCTTTAATATCTATAAAAAGAGTCCGGAGATTCCTTTTGTGAAACCAACGAGGCCGTCATGGAAAGACTCTGAAAAGAAGAAACAGATCCTGAATAAGCTGTAATTACTCAATGAGCAACAACAGCATTAAGATATTTTCATGAAGGACGATTACCTTTTAAAATGAGTTCTTTAGGAGAATCTTTAAGTCATCAAGGAACCATGAGCCCTTGTGATGTCCACAGAGTGGGAAGACAGAAATGCTGTCCTGCTCAGTGCGCTTGACCTTGCTTTTCCGATTTGCTCAGATGCATTAGCTTCTTAATGTCATCTGTGAATTTAGATTAGAGGAAGATCTGGGGAGAAAAATATCCCTGACAGGGTGGACAAAAAACTCAGTCAGTGGACCTTTTAGAGTAGGGGAAGAGCAGAGAATGGTTTCCAGACCTGTCGTGGGTACGCTGTAATATTCCAGTGTATCACAGAGATTTCAGTCCCTATGTGTTTGCTACTTGCTTTTGCATAAGTGGAATGTCAGTGGTGTAACTATAAATCAGCTTAAGGTTTCTAAGTAATCACTGGAAATGGATTTAAAAGTTAAAGTGATTAAAGAAGTGTTGAATAGTTAATGCTTCGTGTCATGATTTATTCCACGATACTGTCAACAATAATACCTGGAATGTGGCCTTGTTTCCCTCGGAATGTTATTAGTTGGGAATGCTGTCGTGGGCTGACAGTTTTCCCATCTGTTTATGTACGGAGTTGAGAAATGAGGGACTTCCCATGTCACTGGAGAATCTGTGACATACAGTGTGAGCCTTTTAAAAAAAAAAACTTATTAGAGAGTGTAGGGAGAGGTGGAGGGGCAGAGGGTTAAGCAGACTCCCTGCTGAGCAGGGAGCCCAGTGAGGGACTCGATCCCAGGACCCTCGGATCATGACCTGAGCTGAAGGCTGACGCTTAACCGACTGAGCCACCCAGGCGCCCTGAGCCTTTTCTTTGATCTGTGTCTGTGGTGTTTCCTAAACACTGTACAGTTGATTGTATATTGTTTGTTGTAGTTCATTTTATACCTTTCAGCATTCTGTGTGAAATGAGCTATTGGAATGCATCTCATGCATAGGATAAAAATATGCCATAATCCTAAGTATCGTACTTTTTTAACAAATAAAACCGCATCTGGCAAGTACAGAATCGTAGATCTTGTAGATGCCTGAAAGAGGCCCAGACCCAGAAGCCTTGGGGTCACCTTGCCGCAGAATTGAAATGCCATTTTATCTTTATTTCACTGGGGTCTGGTACTGTGGGATAATTGAGTGACATGCTTAGTTTTATATTGTCCGATTTCAGATCTTATTTTTCTCTTCCTTTTTGGAAGTTTCTGAGGCCCTCAGTCTCAGGCAGTGTTCCTCGTCATGGTATATGGGTCTCAGCCGTGCTGGGTTAGGTGCTCTTGTTTGTGGACCGGCGTCCTGACCAGCCTTCTGCTGGGTGACTGGTACTCACGGCCCACCTCGCACCTCCCCCCACTCACGTGTGTCTTTGCTGGAATACAGCACTTGTGCACACAGCTGGGTTGACGGAAGACCAGAGGAGTCATCCACAGGGCTGTGCCTCCTCTGATATTAGGTGCTTTTGCTTCTTGCCAGTGATCAGATTTACATGCTGTTAATGGGTTCTTTAAAAATGTAATCAAGTGAGAAGAAGGACCTTTAAAGATTTTTCTATGGCCTGGATACCCACCAGAAGACTGGCAATTGCTAATTCACTTAAATGAAAATGTGGGCCTTTTCTAAGGAAAGAGTCCCTTGCAAAATGCACCCGGAAGCCTTAGGAATGGGGAAAATGGTGCCTGGATCGTCTCTGTGCTCTGGTGACCAGCACACCTCCTGATTCACTACACTCCCGTGATGGAAGTTATTCTGTCTCCTGCTCTGAGCGCCAACTGGGGGTGACACGGACGGGCCCGGGGTGTGTTTCATCATGAGATTGGCATCGCTGGTGGGGGAGATGTTGTTAGCGAGAACCCAGTGCTTTCTTTGAGCCTCAGTAATTTATAAGGACCTGGCCTGTTTCTGCACTTGGAAAAGAGTGTCCTAGAACTGGCCTCCCAGTGAAGAGAGCCCTTTTACCAAGACTCCTGACCCAATATTTTCACCAAGATGTGTTTCGTCCCCATGCATGAACATTCATTTTTGCGATGTTTGTTGTAAAGGATTTAAGGTCTGAATTTCGTTCTTAAAAAATTCTGTTCTTAATCTTCATTTGCAAAAGAAAGTAATACGTTATAAAAGTTCCAAATGGATGGTACCTCCCTCTTCTATACGAGTGTCATAAAAAGTGTCTTTCATGGTATGTTTGCCAATAAATCTAGCTTGAAGACTTGTGGCTTTTAGAAAAGCGTAGCCTGACGTGCGTGCGCGTCGGAGCTGTGATGGCTTTATGTATGTTCATTTTTATTTGGTGTCAGTACAGCAGTTCTTCCTGGCTTTCTCACATTTCTAGTGTTTTCTCAAGGTTGGTCCCTGACTGTGGATTTACCGCAGAGGAAGGAACACATGTCACTGCCTGGGTAAAATATTCCATGCAGCTCTTGCATATTCATACTGAACCACAAAGGTATCTTCAGTTAATTATCAAGCTACTTAAAAGGCAGTATGCTGCACTCACGTGACCTCCTCATCTGCCAAAATGTAGGCTGCACATGATCGCATGATTAGGTAACACCGGTTCACAACATGGAACGCTCTCTCTGAGTCCTATAGCTCCTCCAGTAAATAAATTGGTCGCACACTTATCTCAGGCCAGATGTGCCAGTGATAGAGCTTTTCAAAAGATGAAAGGAGATATATCAGTATGAAAGGAGATGTGTCAGTATGGAAGGCGGCTGCTGCGATCTTTAGGTGACCCTGCACCAACAAAACTGCCTTGCTTAATAATCAAGTCAGATTTTACTTGCTGATAAAAATGCTCCAGAAGGGTCAGTCCTCCGGTGGTGGGCTTCGCAAAGGTGCCGTGCTCTTCCAGGCGGCGTGGAATGGACATGCTCACGACCCGGTTGTCTCTTCTCCGAAAGGCACAAAGCAGCCATTCTGATTTGGTGGTGCGTCATCTGAGTTGTAATAATCCACAGTTGTGTTCCTCACCCTGCCCACATCCTATGCCCTTTGCGAATTAGAAAGGTTTTTCCACACCTTGATTTCCTCCCCATTTACACTCTGCTGGGGTTGGGGGAGGGCCTGAGATCCAAGGAGCAGATGCAGAGGCCCTGGGACCCCTCCTTGGAGGCCAGTCACAAACCAGCCACTCGGAAAGTACCCACAAGGGAATGCCCTTTGCTGTATCTACTTTGTAGACGCAGCACCTGTAGGTGGCTCAGAGTGAGCAGGGACTGGGACCTGGAGGATTTTTCCCCAGATGCCCCAGGCTGGCGCACTGGGTCTTCCTCCGCACCCTGCACACGGTTTATACCCATCTCTTCTTTTCCCTGGTGAGAGTGTGAGGGCGGCAGAGCCTCTGTCTCAGCTTCAGTGGTCCCACCATCCTGGCAGGTGGACTCTGTTAATGCAGACAGCAGGAAAGGGGGTGGGGACCTCTCTGCTCCCAGGCTTTCAGGCGGACCTCTCCCTTGGGAGAGGGCACGAGTATTGGGTTGGTCTCTGCTGGAGGGACAGGGTGCTCAGCCCAGCTGGGGTGTTGATTTTTCACTCACCCTCCCTTCCTCCCCCAAAGAAGAAGCAAAGAAGGAGGTGGCCAATCCCCTGGGGCTGGGATCTGCTTGGTGGATGATTTAGAGAGAAGCTGTCTCCATGGGGCCGTTACAGGATTTGGCTTGGAAACAGTGATGAGTTCAGTTGTCTCCTTGAGGTTCTTTAAAAATTACACGAGTTAGCTAGATCCTGCTGTGAGCTTGTATTGTGCTTTGTGCCCTGTTCTCCTGGTGGCTGAAGCCCCTGCCAGGGTCCGGGGTCTGGTAAGTACCGTCCGAGCTGCATTTTAGCGCTGCCCCCTCCAGCCAGGCCAGATGAGCCAGCGGCCGCCAGACCATCATTTCCTCTCCTGAAGACTGGAGGAAGTTCTTTTTAGCCCCAGTATCCTTCCTTCATTACTACTTTCTTAGATTACTTCTATTTTCCCAAATTATCGAGACCATGAAATAAGTTTAAGAGCCACACAAAACATTACCTTTGATTTTTTTATTTAAAAATTAATAAAGAACTTAGTGACAAGTATAATAATTTAATCTCTATACGTAATGTCATGTGTACATATACATATGAGGGAGCACTGTACTGTACGTTTTACCTTGGTTTTGTATCAAAGTTTTTACTTAAGTCTTTCTAAGAGAAGAATCGGCATCTGTTCGTGACACATTGCAATTAAATTATGAAATGATTTTGGAAAAATTTTTTTTTCTATTCTGAAGATAGTTTTAGTTTTAAATAGGAATTAGTTTATCTTCAGTTTCCTTTTTGACTCTGAAAAAAATTGTTTTTTTTGGGGGGGGGGTCTAGACTGCTTTCAAACAATGATGTCATTCTGTTTCCTAGGATGCCCTCTTGTTGAGACAGATTTATAGCACTAATTAGAAAGCTGCTAACACCCTTATTTCAATTTCACCGAGATTTCATTGGGATTCTTAAAACACAAGGGGATATAACTTGTTGCAAACATTTTTATAACTTTAGTTAAAAACAGTATAAAATACATGAAACACATTTTTTTTTTTTTTGAATTTTTGTCTACATGAAACAATTGCACTTCCTTCATGGTACAGGATCAACATGTCTGTCCTGTTCCTTGCACAAAAATATTTCTCAATTCTGTTTACTGATAAGGACTTCTATCCTCACGTAGTGTTTCCACAAAAGATGTGTGTTTTTCTTTTAATTAAAGCATACATCTGCAGTATGTGAGTAATCCCCAAAGAATGCTTACAGGATACACTCTTCGTTTTTTTCAATTCCAGGTCCTTGTAGAATCGAAACACTTAGAACTAAAATAGATTTGCTGTTGAGTGAGGAGCAAAACGCATGGCAAGAAATAGCTCCGATGTGAAAAATGCGGGTAGAGATCCTTTTACCAAGGGTAGCCACTTCGCTTTTGGCATCTAATCAATGAGGTGTCCATGTCAGCACGAGATTAGATGTGAAACTTTTGGACAGAAACTTGAAGACTAGGTTTTCTTGTCTGTTCACAAACTATTCAAAATTTAAGTTGTACAAAAAAAGGCAAAATAAGATTCTCTACTTCCTATTGTGAAGAGCAGAAAATTGACAGACTGTAGACGAGGGGCTTTTGATTTCTATAAAAAGATACTTGCAAAGGTGCAAAAGAATGAGTGGAAAAATAAAGGAACTAAGATTGGTATTGCAATGTGTAATCAAAAGAGAACTCTAAGTGTCACTGTTTATTTAAAAAATACCTAAAAACATTTGATTCACAGCTTTCCCCTAGGTATGTCATTGAGTACAACTGACTAATGGGTTAGATGTAGGTGACATTAGGTTTGTTTGTTGGTAGCAGCTAAACTAAACACGCAGTTTCTCTTTGAGATGGTCCGGTCTTCCATGGTGGTTACAGAGCAGAATGAATTGTATGAAACGTCTGGCCGCGCTTTTGGTGATGAACAGTGTCTCAAAGACTGATCCACAGAAACACTTTCCGGTGGCAGAGAACACCTGTGATTTATTGGTGACTGTATTATCCATTGTGTATCTCTATGTGTGTTTTCAAATTCTTTCCAGAATTTATCATTTGGCCTTTGGGTACCAAAAGATTAAAAATGAGATCTAAGAAAGCTTAGTATATCCAATAGCTCTGACCCTGTCAACTTCAGTGATTAAAGGCATGTCCTGACTTTGGGCGACTCCTGGCTGCTGGCCATATGGAAAATGAGGAGTAAACATGTCGCAGGTCTGGAGATGAAGAGAATGCTAAGTTTGAGGTGTCAGTGTGACACTGAGATGTGGTCACTTGGCTTAGCGCTATAGCACATGAAGGCAAATACACATATAGTCACGTTTTAGAGATTATGGTCTCCGACCACTTGAAAAAATTGTGCTTTCTCCAGAATTTGATGTGCTGAAAATGGCACTCGCCCCCTGCTTATTTGCAAAATTAAACATAAAAATGAAGTCCTTTGCAAACATAAGGCTTGCTTTTTCTTCTCATTATTTAAAAAAAAGAAAAGAAAAAGTAAAGGCTTGAAAATAATTATGAGTTTTAGCTGTGTACAGAGTGACAGCCCACGGTGTCGCAGGCTGATAACATAACACACTTGCCGATCTGGGGTGGGGGTGGGGCCATAGAATTTTTTACTTACCATCTTTGACTACCCAAGCTTCATTTCAGAGTTTACATCCCACATCCCTGAACGGCAAAGAACAGCGGGCAAGGTGTGACGTTTACTGCCTTGCTTCTGGTCATTATCTGTTGGTACAAAGGCCTTTTTGGTAAGCAGGGTGGGAAGTGGGAGGCGCCCGAGCCAGCCGCGGCTCACTTGATCCTATTCGTTTTGGAAAAGGATTTACTTAACTCCAGTGGGTTTTAAAGATGGCCTTTAGGCTCCACACACCATGAGTTTTAAAGAAACCAGAGTTTCCATCTTCCGTGCTTTTTAGATTCGGGTTTGGATTTTTGTTTGGGAGTAGCAGAGTAGGGCTCCTGAGAGTAAGGCGAAGGTGCAACCTGAGTCTCCTCAAAAGGATGGAGTTTCTTCAGAACTGGCTGGAGCTTGTCTTCTTGCTGCTTAAAGTCCAGCTCCACACTGGGAAGAAGAGAGAGGGGAGAATTTAGTGCTTGATCTTTCATATATAAAGATCCCCCTTAGTGACAGCAAAATGTGACATCCTACCAGGGTGATGATCGGTTTGCGTTATGTGTATTGTGTAATTTTATGGCTCGGTAGTAAGCAGTCAGCTCTGATCTATTTTAGCTCTGTGTCCCTGGGAACTGTCTCAAATAGGTTCATTTTCTTTGAAAATCACTTACTTGCTTTTGTGGGGGAGCCTTTGAAGTTTTATTAACGTACTCAGCTTGTGTCAGGGTATGTCGTGTGTTTGTTGTAATGAGAAAGGTGACATCCAAATAACCCTTTTGCTTGTCTGTAGACTGCACACGTGCTTCACGGAATAAACAGGTAACCAGAAGTGTGGGTGTTCAGGGGCCATCCCAGCACATATAGAGCAGGGGTGTGAAAGCCCTGTGCCCGTGCACCTTTTCACAAGATCAGAGAAATCCATGGATCTCACCTCAGATGGTTGTGGCATGACATGACCTTGGCTTCTGTTCTCCTTACAAAATCTCATCGCCTACCAATGTGGTAAGAGCCACGATATCCAGCCTCGGGGAAAACAGTGTTTTTATGGAGTCAACGCCATTGAACGTCACTCAGTGGTGATCAAAGACAGTTTTTCAGGCAAGAACAGGGTGTTCGGTGAAAATAACACAAAATTGTGATTACATTGCTGAAGCCAAAGTGTGAAGACGTGTAGCCACGAGGAAGGACCTTTGGCAGTAGTGATGATGTTTGTGTTAGATTGATAGGATTCCGGGCAGTTTTTTCTTAAGAAATTTCTTCACAGAATACTGCGGGCTGCCTGGGGTCCTTCCTTCCCTTCATGGCTTCCCTTCATGGCTTTGGGAAGCCCATTGTTGATCCCCTAACTAACTAACTAACTTCTAGGGGGTTGCCTTGGCCTTGGGGAAGGGATGCCCTGGTCCAGTGGCACTTTTCTGTCATGGTAGTGATGAGCCTTGCCCCCCTTCTCACTGTCCCTGTACCCCGATTATTTGAACGTGGGCGTTGCATCACGCCAGGCTTCTGGAGAATTCCATCCTGTGCTCCTTCCATGTCTGGTCTGGAGGCAGACTAAATGTCAGTAGATTTCAGTAAAGGCTCAGCGATGATGATAATACATGAGCTCATAACATTTTATATCCAGTAGAGCCGTAAACCATTTATAAACATGAAATCCTATTGATTTAGAGAACCATTAATCCTAGCCAAATTTTGACATTTTGGAAAGACAAAACAGCAAAGTTGTACTATCTGGAGTTTTAAAAACAAGTTCAAGACCCATCTAATGGACCATTTTATGTTTTAAATCCACTGTTCCATTTTTCTTACCATCTAAGGCTATAATAGTACTGGAAAAATTAAAAATATTGTCAGGGAAGTTTATGGCTAGTTAACCCCTGCTCCCAAAACAAGAATTATTTTTTCCCTTCATTTCAGAGGGCCTTTTTGAGTTACACTGCAGTTTATAGGAGGCAGAACGAAACCTCGTGAGCTCGTGCCTTGCTAATCTAGAACGCGTGATGATGGAGGCACAGTTCCCCTTAAGGGCAGTTGTGGAAAGTGGCAATCAGCTTTTATGAACCATGAGCAGTTATGTGCTATGGTAGGAAGAACAGGGACCAACATCCTGCCTTTTCCTCTTCTTGTTGCGGGGGCCATGTGGGCTTGGACAAGTCCCTGCCTGACAGTCTCCCTGAATTACGGTGAGGATTTCCAACCCCCCTCTCCCCTGCAAAGACAAATCAGTGAAAAAGTTTCCTAAACCCGTAAGATGCAATTCAGATATCATGTAATCCTTATTAACTCTTGATCACTCATTTTATCATGGGAAACAGAGCTACCAGTGACAAAGATTATCTATGGAAGAATTCTTTAGCTTGGTCCTTTCACAAGGAAAATGAGGACCTTGCAGTTGAGTTTGTGAGATACTGTGGCATCCAACATGGTATGTTAGGTTCAAAGGGGTAATTTTATCAGGCGCTTGGTTAATACTGAAAGCATGCTCTCCAGATCATAACCACTTCAACGGTCCCAGATAGGTTTTGAGTTATTAGATTGGCAGGCGGGTGCTCGCGTTTCCTAGGCTAACAGTACAATTCTGGGTACCTGTAATTATTGAATTCCCATTAAGCCGCTACATTGGGAATCCTGTTATTAACCAATTTATCACACCGCGGAACCATGTAATCACAGAGTAATCTAATCTGAGTTCTTGTTAACAAAATGACTCGACTCTGTCTGTTGAGTTGATTCCTGTTTGCCCTCTGCCATTACTGAGAAGCTGCCCTCAGGAGCAGAAGTATGAGCAGGCTTTGTATGGAGGGAGAGTGTGTGGCCACCGAGTGCCAGGGCATCTGCCTGTGGAACGGTGTGCCCTGGCTAGCAGACACATGGTGTGTATCCCTGAGTACACGGTTTTCCTCTGGGGGGCCTTGTTGTGGAAGGAACACACCAAGTCACCGGGCTGATCTGAAGCAGACAACTCGCCGGAGAGGGCAGTGTCTGAAGGTTAGTCGTCTGGCCAACTCTGGCTGACACAGAGCAAAGGTCCCCTTAGTCTTAGCCAAATGGCCAGAAGAAAGCAGCACCTGCTGTCCTGGCTAGAGCAGAGGACCTGCACAGAAGCCACCGATGGACACAGGGCACTGGGACTCTGCGCACAGACCCGTGTGCCTGTGAGTTATCCAGATTGTGCCTGGGTGGGGGCTGCCAGGGGGAGAGGTACTGCCCTCACTCTGGGCGCCAGCGCTGACACCTGAGTGACACCAGGTGTGGTGACGGGGCCCCACGTGCTGCCTGGCAGATGGTACGGTGTGGGAGTGGTCACCATTGCTACAGTCTTCATGGCTTTTACTTTCTCCCTGCCCAAAACACATGTCCTTGCTCCTGGCATGGCTGGCCACTCCTCGTCCCTCTGTCTCCCAGGTACACATTACCTCCTCATTCTCTAGACACCTTCTGACAGATCACCTACCACTGCTCCTTTCTTTTCTCCTTCTCTGTCCTCACCATGAATAATTGCTTATTTGTTTCTGTATTATGTTGCCTCTAACCCCCAGATGTAGGTGCCAGGACTAGGGGGGATGCTGTCCCATCCCCATTCCCAGGACCTACAGCAGGACCTGGGTCCTGGTAGTTGACTGTATAATACTTACTGAATTAAACAAATGAGCACAGAGCCTTAAAAGACAAATTCACCTTGGCTTTAGTCCCAGTTGCCCTGGGCTGCTCTGTTTGGGTCAGCGCCATGGCCCGTGCCCCCATCTCCTCCCACACTGAGCCCACTCCATGCCCAGTCAAACAGGGCTTCTCTTGGAAGAAGTTGGTGGGCCCACTCCAGGTGGAATCTCCACATCCATTCTATCAGAACTTAAGAAGATGGTGAAACATTTTCTGCAAAATACACAAGATCTTTTTGGAGTTTGGTCCCTGCACTTCTACTTCCCTTTTTCTGCAAGAGTCTGCAGTAAGATCTTGGAAAGAATGGATGGGGTCAGTAGGGTGCTCACAAGTGGCCAGGAGTTCCCGTGCTCTGCTCCGGGGAACTCGGGAGTAGCATTTTATTCCTGTGGGCTGGAGGAAGGCCTGGGCCTGAGTTGGAGACCCTGATGGTGTCTTCCACTCTGTCAGAGGTGGCCCTCCTCCACCACGCAGTTCGGTCCTGCTTCCCCAGAGCAGTCCCAGCTCAGAGACTTACCCCTGGTGGAAAGAACACATGATAATGTTTGTATTCCAAGTCTGGGTTGTAGACCTCATCATGGTCATTCAGGACTCTGGTGGGGGTTTAAACAGCTCCCTGGACCCTCTGGGGCCTGTATGCCCGGCAGCACACATGAGACAGGAGGCTGCTGGTGGAGCCACCCATCTCCTGCAGGCTGGGTCTGGTGTTTGTGAAGCGCTGTCCTGGGGAGATGCACACCATGCTGAATGCTGTTTGTCAGGAGGAAAGCAGTCTGGAGAAAGTCCTGACTCTTGAGCTTCAAAGCATGAACGTGAAAGGGCTGGAGCCAGGCCAGGCTTACCCACGCTAGGTGTTCTCTGAACAAAACATAGGCTACAGCTTGTGCTGGGTGAGACTCAGTGCCCAGAGTACCGGGGCTGTGTACGAGACCTGAGTCCCCAGGAGCTCCTCTTATATTTACCTCGACATCTCTCCTTTCCCTGCCTGCATCCCCTTCTCCGTCAGACGGCTGAATCATGTGACCAAATGCTTTGCGTTGAGACCATCATGTGACCTGACGGTGCTCCATGGTGCTGTTGCAAAGCCATTTTCCGTGCTCCACGTGACTCAGCTGTGATAAACGATTAAAGCTGTAGATTCAATTTCTTTGGTTAGTCTTTTTCTCTTAAAAATGGGAGTTTTAAGTATGGGGACTTTTCTTGCAAAATTATTATTCTCTACATTTCCAAAGTCTGTCCTGAATCTCAAGCTGCTTCGTCAGTTGGCACACAAGCTTTGTTCTCTTCCCGGAGACTCTGCTAGGCTTTGTAGTAACACCTCTCCCCGCCCCCAGTCCCTGTGCTTTTGCAGAGGAGCGTGGTTGTAGCTTCTCCAGTCGGAGCTCAGCTCGGCTGATGCTCCTATAAATACTTGGACCTTGCCAGTTTCTTTAGCACGCTGTCACCAACTCATCAAGTTAATTTAAGGGGAATGTAGTTAAAACATCCCTTTCTTCAGTCCTCTGTGTGTAGCCGTTAGGAGTTAAAAGCAAGTGAGTTTGGCTCCCAAGCACTTGTGTTTTCTGGAGTGGAGGAAAACCTGAAATCTCGGATTTCTCTGTCCTTGGCAATGTCGGGGGGCTCCGTAGACTGCACAGCAGAAGCATCTGTTTTTAATTCTCCCTGAATTAGATCACCGAGTTCCCCTGGTGTTCTCTGGGGCTCTGACTGACTCATGCTCTGCCACTGTGGATAAATCATCTCACCTATGGGGACCTGAGCTTGCTGGATCGTGAAACAGTGGTGGA